GGTCTTCCTTATTCATTGTCCAGCTTTCACATGCATATGAGGCGATTGAAAATACCATGGCTTGAGTTGGGCACACTTTAGTCTTCAGAGACATCTTTGCTTTTCAGCACCCTAAAGAGGTCTTTTGCAGCAGATTTGCCCAGTACAATACATTGTCTGATTTCTTGACTGCTGCTTCCATTGGTGTTGATTGTGGAACCAAGTAATAAGAAATCTTTGACAACATCAGTCTTTTCTCCCTTTATCGTGATGCTGCTTATTGGTCCAGTTGTGAGGATTTTCGTTTTCTTTACGTTGAGGTGTAATCCATACTGCAGACTGTAGTCTTTAATCTTCATCCGTAAAGTACTTCAAGTCATCTTTACTTTCAGCAAGCTAAATTGTGTTATCTGCATATTGCAGATTGTTAATGAGTCTTCCTCCAGTCCTGATGCCACATTCTTCTTCATATAATCCAGCTTCTTGGGTTATTTGCTCAGCATACAGATTGAATAAGTATTGTGAAAGGATACAACCGACACATTCCCTTCCTGATTTAAAACCATGCAGTATCCCCTTGTTCTGTTCAAATGATAGCCTCCTGGTCTCATGAGCATAATTAAGTATTCTGGAATTCCCATTCTTTTTCAATGTTATCCATAATTTGTTAAGATTCACACAATCAAATGCTTATGCAATAAAACACAAGTAAACATCTTTCTGGTATTCTTTGCTTTTGGTCAGGATCCATCTGACAACAATGATATCTCTCAATCCATTTCCTCTTCTGAATCCAGCTTGCGTTTCTGGAAGTTCTCTGTCAATATACTGCTGCAACCATTTTTTAATTATCTTCAGCAAGATTTTACTTGCATGTGATATTAATGATATTGTTCAATAATTTCCACATTCTGTGTGATCATCTTTCTTTGAAATGGGTATAAATATGGATCTCTTCCAGTCAGTTGGCCTGGTAGCTGTCTTCCAAATTTCTTGGCACAGACAAGTGAGTACCTCCAGCATGCATCTGTTTGTTGAAACACCTCGATGGGTATTCTGTCAATTCCTGGAACCTTGTTCTTCACCTATTCCTTCAGTGCAGTTTCAACTTCTTCCTTCAGTACCATTGGTTCTTGATCATATGCCACCTCCTGAAATGGATGAACACCAACCAATTTTTTTTGTGTGCAGTGACTGCGTATTCCTTTCACCTTCTTTTGATGTTTCCAGTATCGTTCAAAATTTTGCTCATAGAATCTTTTAACATTGCAACTTGAGACTTAATTTTTTTTCTTCAGTTCTTTCAGCTTGGGAAATGCCGAGCATGTTTTTCCCTTTCGGTTTTCTAACTCCAAGTCTTTGCACATTTCATTGTAGTAATTGGCTTTGTCTTCTCAAGCTGCTCTTTGAAATCTTCTGTTCAGCTCTTTTATGTTGTCATTTCATCCATTTGCTTTAGTTACTCTCCACTCAAGGGCAAGTTTCAGAGTCTCTTCTGTCATCCATTTTGTTCTCATCTTCTTTTCTCATCTTTTTAGTGACCTCTTGCTTTCTTCATGGATGATGTTCTTGATGTCATCCCACAATTTTTCTGGTTTTTGGTCATTGGTTTTCAATGAATCAAATCTATTCTTTAGATGCTCTCTAAGTTCAGGAGGGATATATTCAAGATCATATTTTGGATCTCATGGACTTGTTTTAACTGTCTTTAACTTCAAGTTGAACTTGCATATGAGCAGT